TGGACACAATACTCCAGATGTGGCCTCACCAGGGCTGAGCAGAGGGGCAGGATCCCCTCCCTTGCCCTGCTGGCAATGCTCCTCCTCATGCAGGCCAGGAGCCCATTGGCCTTCTTAGCCACGAGGGCACACTGCTGCCTCATGGGTAACCTGTTGTCAGCCAGGGCTCCCAAATCCCTCTCCGCGGAGCTGCTTTCCAGCAGGTAAATCTCCTCATCCTAACCGAGTCTCCCATTGAGGGCCAAGGCTCCCTCCCTCATTCTAGACCTTTCCTCTTCATCCCAGTATACTCAACCACCATTTCTAATTCTACCTCTACTCCACCTTGGTTCCTTATCCATGATGTCTTGTCCAGTTGATTTCCACTCACTTGCTACCTACCAGTACTTACTTCCTTTTCTTATTTGCTTGTGTTAACTGTTTTCTCTTTACATTTCATTTCCCAAAAATGCTTTTCCTTCTCCCTTCTAACATCATAATCCTTCTCTTAATTTATTATTTTTTTCTTTTCCTGTTCCAAGCTTCATATCTCCTATGCCTGCAAACTGTTCATATTCCTTCTTCATGGAGGCTCCCAGTGGCAGCTTTAAGACATCAAGAGGACACAGAACAGTTCAAACATGCAGTGAAGCTAGCATTCAAGAGCTGTAACTCCAAAAGGAGGCCCGAATTAACCCCTTGTTGATGTTTTGGAGAAGATCATGAATGTCACCACAGTAACTGTATAAAGCCAAGTAGCCACAAAGGGCCCAGCATACGCACATTCAGTCACTAGAACTTGTGATGCCAAAGCATTACCGGAACAAAGTATAGTCTTAGAGAGGAATCTGATTCTGTGCCCACTGTGTTTTTGCAGAAGCTCAAACTTGGAAAAAATGATCACTATTTTTTTTAGAACAGCAAAAAACAGATTACTGTCACAAAGACCATTACTTCTCAAAATCCCCATCTCTGTTTCAAAAGTAACAGGGCAATGAGTCCACTTGAAGAAAAGGTCAGGAGAACGATTTTTTAAACATTATAGAAGAACTTAAAAACATCTGAGAAGGAAGCTTTAAGAGATACTCTGTTACATAATTATAGAACAATCTACATTGTAGAATGTGTTATCAAAATGTGTTATCAAAAACATCACATTTAAATATGACGGGTAAAGTCCAAGTGACAGATTCAGGTGTTTGGAGTATTAACAGTCCAAAATAATAATGCAGTTTTACATTTTACCTTCCACACAAATATACTTGTTTCTCCATTCAATACCACCAGGTCTTGGAATAGCTTTGGCCTCACGAACTGAAATCATTTGATGGCTCCAGCTAGGGAAAAGAAAAACAGTTTACTGACCTTATAAACTGTTGATTTTGAGTAACATCAGTTTGCCTTAAAAAGATGTCAGAATACTATGGATAGCACAATCCTTTTTCATAACCTGTAACAGAGTACAACAGTTTAATCTTCACAATATGAAGTAAGGAATAATGGGTAGGAAAAAAGAAACATTTTTTCAAACACATTTATTTATGAAAACATCTGCTAAACAGAATACCACAGGTTTCTACAAGTAGCATACTTTTTTTTTTTCCAGAAACCACTGTCAAATCGAACACTGAA